GTCCGGGTGATGGTTGTGTCGCCTCTGCCCATGCTGCCGTTCCAGTCGCTGCCGATGCCCAGCGTAGGACCTGTCTCACGCTTCGGGAGCCCCAGCGAAGGCTGCGGCACGGCCTCAAAATGTGTGCGGCTCGCCCGCGCGCCCTCACGCATCCGACAGGAGCTCCTGCGCAAGAACCCGGAGGGCGTCGAACGAGTTTCCGCCGCCGTGAACGAAGCACACGCTGCCACCCGTGATCAAATTTTTGAAGGACTTGGTGCCGGCGTTGCTCTCCACGGTGACGGGGATGCCCGAGTCCAGTTTCATGTTGTTCAGGGACAGCACCAGGAGGCCAGCGTAGTCGAGCGCAACCTTGTCAGGGTTATGGAGAAAGTACTCGTTGATAAGCATGCTCTCTGAGTCGGCATAGTAGTACATATCGGCGAGCATATCTGCGATATCCCCGATAGGGCCCATGATGAAGCCTCCATTCGCGAACTTGTACGAGGGAGGCGAGGTGCAATACCCGACGGTCGAGTTGGTGCAGTCGGCATAGGTTGAGGCAAACGTGGACGAGACGCCCACAGCTGTCAGGAAGTTGCTCTGCGTCGTCGCGATGCCAGCTGTCTGGTCGTAACGCCACGCCAGACCCATAGGCCATGGGCTCACCTCAGCAGCTAAGACAACCTTCTGAGTGCCTCCGCTGGCGGTGATGATCTCGTCGTATTTGTACTGGATCGTGTTCTCATCGCAGCCGGCATACAAAACCTCGCCACTGGCATGAATGACGATCAACTTTTCGGTATTGCGGGTCGCCCAGTAGTCGATCCACGTCTTGACGGCCAGATACCTGATCCTCTGCCAACCCCACACTGTGGTTGCGCCCGCGGGATTCACCATGCCGTTGAGGTGCCTCACCTCTTCGCCTCCGACGCCTGTCATTCGGTAGCTCGGAGGCGGCTGAGTGGGCTTCTTGCTGTCCTTGATCAGCACTCTGCCCATCGCGATGTTGGGCGGGAAGCCGTCCTGCTCACGAACGGTCTCGAGAGAGTCTGGAAACACCTCCAAGTCGTACTTATCCCAGATGGGATGCTCTGTGACGGAGCCCACATCCCTATTCGACGGTCGGTTGAAGACCGTCTCCCAAGGACTTGGTAAGACCTTCGAAGACTCCCAGGCAAGCACTTCTTCCGCGAGCTCGGTCACAAGGGCCTCTCCCTCTGCACGCACTTGAACAATGCTGACCAGGGACAGCCCTACTGCAGCTGTGAAGAACATGCTTACGCAAGAAGAAGATGCAACAAAGCTGCGGGTACGGAGAAGGACAGTGTGATTTGAGCCGGAACACTATGAATGAGGTTTGGAATGGAGGCCTGTTTACGCTGTCTGGCCCTACTGTAATAAAATCACCCCCCTCCAAGTGTCGGCCTTGAATGCTGAAACGGCCGAGGCTAGCCGCCGCACATGCTGGCTTCGCGACGTCGCGACAAGCCGTCGAACAGAACGAACGGCATGTTCATCAGGCGTCGGGCCGCTATGTTCTTCCCCCCCCTTTGGTTTTCCACAGCGAGCGTCATGAGAGCAAAGGCGACGCTGTGGACAACCAAACGGTGGTAACCATACTCGGGATCCTGAGGACAACGCCGGGCCGAGGAGAGATAGCAGAGGCAACGCTGCGGAAAGCCAGACGGTCGGAATTGAGGGTCCAGACCAGAGACACGTTACCAAGCAAGCCGGGCACGCCACGTGGGGCCGTGCCAGAGACCCTGACACTCCAAAATCCAGACAGGGCATGTCTTCAGAGCATCAGAGGAGGTCAGAGGGAGCGGGGCCGAGCGGTCTTCCACCAGCCCCGGGTGCGCGGATGAAGTGGTACTCCGTGGCCCCGGGTGCTGCTTGTTGCATAGGGGCTGCGCCAACTGCGCGGGGCAGGTCTCGAGGGCTTGGGATGTGCTTGGCTATCAGAATTACGCTGTGGGCCACCCCTTTGCCACAGCGGTGGCTCCCGCTCGAGACTTCCCCCACGACCTATTCAAAACCGCGCCCTCGCATGGGAAATCCTTCTGACGGGTTGTCCAGGGATCGCGCCCTCGCGTGGGACTTTCCCACATGTTTTGAGACGCCGCGCTCTCGGCACTCACGAATCACGCTCTCGCTCTCTCGCTGTTGCATTCCTCACGAATTCATCGAGACTTCCACGCGATCCATGCGAGAAGCATGCTTCAACGACCTGCCCGTTCGAACCAGCCGTCTGGGCCCGCCCGCCCGATCCGCCCGTGAAAGTCCGCCCACCCGCCCACCCCACCGTGTTTCTGCCGCTCGCCTTCCTGCTTCGAAGCCCCCTCCTGCTCGTCTCTTTTCGCTCTCCCCGTCTTAGGGTCTGCGCCATCTACGTGTGGCATGCAAGGAAAACATACCCACAAGGGGGGCACGATCGAAGACGAGGGCGGGTACCGAGGAGTGACACGCGAACAAATAAGACAGACTTTCTTACAATGATTCGTAATGCTGTCGCCGTCGTCCCCCCGCGACCCACCCGCGACCCATCCGCAAATCAACCCACGACCCGCCCCGCGACCCGATCGCGACTCACCCGCGACCCACCCCGAGAACGAGCAACGTATATGGCGGGGGTCTACGTACAGATAGCAAGTCTACAGTGCAGCCAGAGCATCAACAAACTAACAGAAACACTATGACTTGGGACCATTACCGACTCCTCCTCCTCCTCCTCCTCCTCCTCCTCCTCCTCCTCCTGCGCTCCGCGCTCGCTCAGGTCTTCCCACCATGGAGCCTGGCGTGCAGAGCAGAAGAACGGCTTTGCCCGAGAAAACGGGATGCGTGGACGGACCAGCGCGTTCGCTGCTGAAGCCGCGACACCTGGCTGCTGTCCGACCTCGCACGCGCGTTTTCTTCCGGCCAGGGCAGGGAAGTGGGAGGAGGAAGGGGCGGGGAGGCGGGGCAGCGGGGAGGGAAGGGAAGAGATAGAGAGAGAGAGAGAGAGAGAGCGGCGAGGAGGGGTGAGGTTTAACAGTGCCCCACCCAGAGGTAGGAAAAAGGGCAACAGACGTGACCAAGGGGGGAGGGAGGTGGGAGGAGGAGGAGGAGGAGGAGGAGGAGGAGGAGGAGGAGGAGAACGACTCGTTCTCTGGCGGCACCCTTGGCGCGTGGACTCCGGAGGCAGAGAGCGAGGAGGAGGGGCTCACGGGCTCCCGCCGTTGCGAACAGATCGCGGAAGCCGATGTTCCTGCCGGCGGGCCCCCGCGGAACCCCACTTCGGGCACCAGGACACTCGGAGCAACACCAAGAAACTGGCTACACGTCGTTCACTTCTAGTCGTGCTCATTTCTAATTGTGCTCGTTCCTACTTGTTCCTGGCCCCCTAGCGGCCAGGAAGAGGCCCAGGATAGAACAATTGGAAATGAAAGGATCTTGCCCCCCAGAAATCAAGGAACTTTCGAAGAATTCGACATGAACAATGTGTATAGGGAGCTGTTCCTGGGGATGGGGCTGGAGGTCCAGAGGCCCACGTCTGGGTCCGCTTACACTGCCTTGGAAGGCCCTATCATGATACCGGCACTATCTCACACCACCACGCGTGGCACCGGGCATCGATGGGACCGAGGAGAAGCATCCACGAATACCACGAGCGCTGCGTCATGCCCGTGCCACCTCCTGCGCAACTCTCCCTGAAGCACGCGAGGACCGACCGCCAGACATACGCCATGCTCGCACCGCAAACTCCCTCTCTCTTGACCCTGGGCCATGACATCACCATCGACAAAGACAGCGCTCGATGCTCAGGGCATGGCTGGACCTAAACGTTGTTGTTCGTTTTGTTTTCGTGCTGTGTTTCGTTCTGCCCTACCTGTTTTCCTGTACCTCCCTCCCGAAACGAAACACAAGACACAGCCAAAGTCCAGCAACACAGCGTTTAGGTCCAGCCCTGGCCCAGGGCGTGAACGAGCGCGAGCCAGAGCGGGGAGGACCCAGGCGACGCCGAGGGCCAAGTGACCGCCTCACCGCCCCTGGCCAGGCCCACCCCGGGCCCGGGGCCGGTGCATGGGCGCTCCTGGCTTCGCCGGGGAGGCGTGGACACCGATCCCGGGCCCGGAGGCGGCTACTGGGAGGTCTTCGTCGGAAGGACTCAAGAGGTTTAAGCCCCATTTGGGGGGGCTGTCACGCCAGAGTGGGTCTCGGATCAAACGGGATTTCGCCGGATTAAGCGGGATGAGCCCGGATTAAGCCGAATGCAGCGGGATTAAGCCAGATCAAACGGGCTTAACAAACGGGATTAAGCCGGATAAATCGGATTTCGGACCAGGGCAAAATCCGCCGACCCCTTGGGGATCATCGGCGTGTGAGATGCTTCCCCCTCCCTTCCCCCCGGAGCTTGGTCTGGTCGATTTGGAAAGGGGGGGGGCCGTCCGGCCAGAGCTCATCCCGGGGGTCCGGCCCTTCCCGGGCTCTTTCTTGAGGTCCACGACAGCTTCTGGGGCCGCCCAAGAGAGGGCCCCGACGCCCAGGATGGCCCCAAGACGGCCCCAGAAACCTCCCAGACGGCCCAGGAAGCCTCCAAGAGCATCCCCAAGAGGGGCCCAAGAGGCCAAAATTGACGAATTCTGGTGGGAAGCCCTACCTTTTTATCATGCACGTTTTTTCGGCCTTCGCGGCGCTGAAGACGGCCCGGGAGTTCCCCCAAGACTGCCCCAAAACGGCCCCACAGGTTCCCAAGAGGCGCTCGAAGCGGCCCAAGAGGGCGCCAAAACGGGCCAAGAGGCTCCCAAGATGGCCCAGGAGTGCCCCAAAACGGCCCAATGAGGGGCCCAGGAGGAGGAGCCTGAATCAACAATCCGAGCCTTCCGCCCCAAAACGGCCCAAGGGGGGGCCCAAGAGGCGCTCAACAGGGCCCATGGGTCCCCCAAGAGGCCCCCCAGGAGGCCCCAAGAGGACCCCAAGAGGCCGCCCAAGAGGCCCCAAGAGGCCGCCAAGAAGTTCAAAAGAAGCCTAAGTACCACTTGAGACATGTAACTTCTAAACCGCAGCCCAGGTACCAAGGATCTCAGGCCGACAACCAAGGCACGGTGGCGGGATGGGCCGAAGGCCACTATATCCGCCGCCCCCTGCTTGCAGGGGTGCACGGCGTGCTGGATGAGCTGTTAGGTTTTGGTTTTGGTTCTTTTTCCAAAAGAACTCCCCAGTGGGCTCCGGCAGAACCCGCCACCGTGCGCAAAAACGGCCGTTTCGCTCGGGACATCCTCAAAAAATCGCGAAGATGGCCCAAGATGGCCTCCAAGTCCGCCCGAGATGGTCCAAGACGGCCTCCAAAACGGCCCAAGAGAGTCCAAGACGGCCCAAGACGGCCCAAGAGGCCCCCCAGAGGCCTCCCAGACGGCCCAAGAGGCCTCCAAGAGGTCCTCCAGGAGAGTCCGAAGAGGCCAAAATCATTGATTTTCCCTTGGTTTTTGAAGGATTTTGGCATTTGCGCCTTTTCGGCTCTCCGACGGCTCAAGACGGCCCAAGAAGCCCCCAAGATCGCCCAAGAGGCCCCCAAGAGAGCCCCCTGATGGCCCAAGTGGCCTCCAAGATGGCCCCTAGAGGGCCCCAAGACGGCCCAAGAGGCCTCCAACACGCCCAAGATGGCCTCCAAGACGCCCAAGATGGCCTCCAAGACGGCCCTGGAGCGCCCCAAGAGGGTCCCCCGTTGGCCCAGAAAGGCCCCCAAAACGGCTCCCGACGGCGTCAGACGTGCCAGGAACCCACCAAGATGGCCGAAGTTGGCTCGAAGCTGGCCCAAAAGGGCCCAAGAGGCCCCCAAGAGGGCCTCCAGGAAGGCCAAAAGATGCCAAAATCACTGATTTTCCCAAGGTTTTTGATGGATTTGGGCATTTCCCTTCTTTCGGCCTTCCGACGGCCCGAGACGGCCCAAGAGCCCCCAAAGATCGCCGAAAGATCGCCCAAGAGGCCTCCAAGACGGCGACGATGACCATCAAGACGCCCACGTGTTCCCCGAAGGCTTTCCAAACCGATTCGGGGAACACATGGTCCGATGGCTTGGCAGGTCTGGCCTCAACGTTCGGCCACATAGGCGCTTCCACAAAGGCAGGGGGCGGCGGTGATTCGCCGTAGGCGTCTTCGATCCGCCGCCCCCTGTGGTCTTGCCACAGGGGTGCACGGCGTGCTGGATGTTTCAGGTTTTGGTTTTGGTTCTTTTTCTAAAAGAACTCCCCAGTGGGCTTCGGCCCGTCCCGCCGGCCACCCGCAAGTTTCCGAAAATCCATCTGTCAATGCCTTTGTTGCCCCAACTTGGCCCAAGATGGCCTCCAAGACGGCCAAGATGGCCCAAGATGGCCTCCAAGATGCTTCCAAGACGGCCAAGATGGCCTCCAAAACGGGTAAGATGGCTCCAAGATGCACCCAAGACGGCCCAAGATGGCCTCAAGATGGTCTA